CTCATACTGCCGAGGTGGCTAAGTTTGAAAAGGAAAAGACATCTTATGGGCAGGCGAAGTACGATGAGGGTTTTCAAGCCGGAAAAGATGCCGGTATTGCTGTTGCCGAGCAGGAGGCAAAAGCGGGAACCGAGGAGGCCGATGATGGCGTGCCCGGTGGGAATGCAGAAGGGCCGGATCTCGATCTGGAGATGAAGACCTGCATCTCGAGCGTTGTGAAGAGAGAGGGTTCTACGATTTCTATGACTTGCGGGTCTTTCTTTTCCGTAAACTCGCAAAGTACAATTTTAATTTGGAGATCAAAACTGCGCATATTCCGGCCGACGACGACGAACGCGGCTATTGTGAATGGAGGCTGAGCAGGTTTGAGGCTATGATTGATAATCTCGACTTTGTCCCTCTGATCGAAGAGCTCGAGAAAATTTTCCGGCGTGCATATGTCGGCATGCTTCTTGAAGGGGAAAGGGACAAAAGAGGAGAACTGGCCAATGCATTCGTAGAGAAGGTGGCCGAACTTACAGTAGCCCAGGGTTTCGAAAACAAGACTCCTGAGGCTATTCGGAAGGCGGTTGAGAAATATGTTGCGGACAAGGCCAAGCTGTTAACGGAGGAGCAGGCTAGATATGACTTGGTCCCTTTCACCGATGATGCCGTTGAAGCCGCTACTCGAGCCAAGTAGATTGCTGCTTTGGAGAAGTTTCATGAACATATGAAGAATTCTGGCCCGGAGGTTGGAGAGAGTAGCAGCACAGCCAAGGACGATGCTAATAAGGAAGATTGAGATGCTTGCAAATGAACTCATTTTACTCTATTTTCGTGCTTGTGATAGTTTAAGTCTAGTACTCTTGATTTTCAAGTTACGACTTTTGTGGCTTTGTTTTTTCAGAAGTGGGACTTTGTGTTTTCAGAATCAGGGCGTCAACATGTTTCGATTCCCGATTGACTTGTCAATTAAGGGTAAACGTATGATTTTGATGCAACTTGAATGAAACAACTTCATTTCATGTTTATGTTACTTACCTCAAATTTTGTATTATCTTGTTTTTCAGAGTTTCAGAACAAGAAACAAAGATAAACATAACATTTGTGATATAGCTGTTTTCTATAACTTTTCATCTCAGATCTCGTAAGTAAACTTGAAGATCGATTAAACCATCATCTTAAAAATTGGCGAAAATCAAAATCTTATTGGAAACAAATATGCTACTTATTCGTTCCGAGATGAATAGTGTATGTTTACCTTGTTCCGAGTTTGCCTCAATTTTTGATAAGGAAGCCGGTGTCTTCGAGTACCGACTAGAAAATGATGTGTTTTTGGTTATGATACTTTGAGAAATAGTCGCCCGACCGAATTCATGCGGCTCGGTTATAAATGGAATCGCAAAAGAATACCATTTGACCTAACAATCTATCCTTCATTGTACCAACATTATTTTTTTTTTCGGAACGATAGAAGCATTATATTAATCTCAAGGAAAATTGCATATTAATACACCACCTTTCATATTTTTGCAATTTCATCACCACATTCAAAATTTTGCAAATTAATACACCACCTTTACCACTTTTGCAAATTGATACATGCATAACGGTTCCGTTAACAAAAATGTAGCGAAAATATGAAATGGCATTAAACCACGTCAGTGCCATGTCAGATTTCTGTTAACGTAACCGTCATTCATGTATCGATTAAAGGTGGTGTACTAATTTACAAAATTTCAAAGGTGGTGATTAAATTGCAAAAACATAAAAGGTGGTGTATTAATATGAAATTTTGCCTAATCTCAAAGGGGAACATTGTTCTAATACAACCATGGCCAACAGCCAAATAACCAAACTACCTAGCCGGAAAAAGAAAAATGGGAGGACACGCATGAAGCGGCCTAGAACACACCAAAAGAACTAAAAAAAGAAGAAGAGGGAAAACATAACCACTGCACTACTTGCCTAGCCTGCCAATCAACTTCAAAATACAACCAACTATAGAGACAAAGAGAAACTGGAAAAAGAAAAACAGAACTAATAACTTATACAATACCAAAGCAAGAATTAGTCCTTCACAGCCCTGAACTCCTGCCAATCTTTATGTGCCCTTTTGATCAACACATGGACTGGAACTTTGACTTTCTCAAACATCCACAGATTCCTACTTTTCCACAGCCACCACAGAAGGTAAGTGGTTGAGCTGGATTCTATCTTCAGCAACCTGTGTTTTCTTGATGGTGCAGAGATGCCACCACCAACTTTTGAAAGAGCGGACCTTGAGCAGTAAAATAACAAATGTTCTATGGGTTCTAGAAATTCACCACAGCAATGGCATAACACATCAACATTAAGTCCTCTTCTGAACAGATTAGTGTTAACATGTAAGGTATTGGTTAAGCACTTCCATAAGAAATGTTTGACAGTGCCTTTGACTTTCAGGTTCCAGCTTCTAAGCCTTGCTTTTCTAGTCATAGATGGGCTTGCACTTGTACCTGGAATATCAAGAGACAATTCTTTTTGGTTTATAAGATGAGCATATGTTGAAGAGACTGAAAAAGTTTCTTTCTTGTTGAGGCACCAGTAAATTCTATCATTTCTGGCAGGATTAATAGTCTTGATGCCAAGGGTAGCTTGACTATCTTCTGCATTAAAAAGTTGTTGAACCAGCCAGGTGTTCCATCCTGACCCATCTTCCTGAAGCAAGTCTTTCACTCAAATGACATGACCCTAAGCAATGTCTAACATTTTTGGCTTTGAATTTGGAAGAGAAGGTACCCAGTTCAAGTCTGAAATCCTGGTAAGGGCCCCATTTCTGATTTCAGTTCTATGTCCTTGCTTAAAAATAGGCAAGCAGTCCAGCCATGTGTGCCATAGCCAAGATCTTTGTTGGGTTTTTGTGGCATCAAAGATAGAACAAGAGAGAAAGTATCTGTCCTTGAGAACTTTTCTCACCAGAAGTTCAGGTTGAGATACTAGCCTCCACAGCTGCTTACAAATGAGGGCTTGGTTAAATGAACTCATATCTTTGAACCCAATACCTCCCTCCTCCTTTGGCAAAGTCAGGAAGTGCCAGGCTTTCTAGTGAATTTCCCTCTCTTTAGTATCACCTTTACACCACCAAAATTGTGCACTGAGACTTGCAATAGCTTTACAGATAGACTAAGGAAGTTTAAAGCATGGCATAGTAAACACTGCTAATGCATCTATCATTGCTTTGAGAAGGACTTCCTTACCAGCTATTGATAAAATTTTGTTCTTCCAGCTCCAAAGTTTAGCCATGACAGAGTCTAAGACATAAGAGAAAACCTCTGCTTTTGACCTGCCAATTCTCAAAGGTAGCCCTAAGTATCTTGTGGATGTATGGAGTTGGATGCCATTTAGTGCAGCAAAAATCTGGTTCTTAAGATAGGTATTGGTGTTCTTGCTGAAGAAAGCAGAGGACCTCTGAAGGTTTACTTTCTGAGAATGTCTGATCCAATCTCGCTAGACCAATCTTCAAGCTCCTTTTTAATGGAAACACAACCACTAAACTGATTTGCTGCCCACAAAGCAGTAGCAGTGCCTACCAAGCCCAGCTCTTGTAGGCACCTCCTTATCAAGATGGATCTAAAAGAAAAAAGAAAATCATCTTACAACATACTCATTTGAGTTCAGATTGCCCAGTTAGTAAATTGTTATCTGTATCCACTTCAATTACCCAGAAACAGTTGTCAACTCCAGTCTTTTCCTAAAAATATTAAGAGCCTTAATTATCTGAAAAAAAATGAAAAAGTAGTTACTTTCCCATAGAAAAATCATTGAAAGCAGGGAAGACGTAAATGGCCCAATTTTAATATTTACCAAATACCTCTCTATCATGATCATCTTCGTCTAGCGAGATTGGCTCAGACATTCTCTTGATAGCCATCTGCCCTTTTTCTTGCCCTTTTTCCTGTTGTATATAAGAAAACAATTTGGACTCCAAAAGACACCAAATTCACCAAAGTTTGAAAAATCTAAGCACACAATATATCTAATATAATTACCTTACCTTGCAAGGCAAAAAAGAGTGAGTCTAGTTAACCCAGCATCCTTATCCACTTCAGTTGCCAGCTTGTTGAACTTACCTTCAAAATCATAAACAACCTAAACACCGCACAAATAAAACCACAACTAAAGCTCACATTTTTTATGAGGATTAACTTCCAAACACAGACCAATTTCATTCAATCTAAGAAACACAAAAAACATAACTCAAACATAAATTCAATTAAATGAAAACATGGTATCTCCACTTGTTTTCTGCCATTCTTCGAATCAGAAGACTTTTCGATTCATATTGCAGCGGCGGCGCCGTCGATCATTGCTTGAGCGGACTTAGCTCGCCCAGATGTAACCTCAGACTACGGAGCCGTCATTTTTACGGATTGACCTTGAACTGCTGGTTGACAATCAACAACATAGACTCCTCGTATCACCGAACAATCAAATGTATTAGCATCCCATTTTTTCCCCCAAAGGTGCAACAACATCAAACCTTTTTTGTTCAATTTTTTTCAATTAAACAGTTTAACTTCCAAAAATAGTTGTTGACAATTTCTGCTCCAACTTTCAAGTCTTTGATTTTTGCTTTTCTCATAGTTATATACTCTAAACATTCAATCTATTTTCAAAGAGTGCCTTCAAGTAGTTTTCATAATTGCCCAAAATCTATTTTTGACCCCAAAAAAAATTAAAAAATTAAAATTAGAGTAACTGCAAATATTTGTAGGTTAAGCTGGAATAATAAAAAAGTGAAATGTATAGTTTTTCTTTTTCTCATGATAGCTAACTCTTCTTTAATTAGGTGAACTCTAGGGTTATTCTTGTAAGTGGTGGGTGAAGAGGTTGGTGTACTCAACGATATGGATCCTATATTTTCTGCTTTAGAGCTCGAAAAAACTTATACATTTCTTTGGTATTTTGTCCCAGGGGAAGAGCGATTGTAATCAAGCATTGTGTCCATGAATGTGTTAAATCGTCGAACATATCTATAAATGGTTAAAAGGTAAGTAGTTAAAACAGATCTACCCAATCAGTGATTGATTTCGGAATTTTGTACCTTTTTCCTCCCATTTTTCTTTTCCATTTTTCTTCCCTCTTTTGACGGTATGCAGCATTTATCTAAGACTTGAAAATGCGACGATTTCTAAATCATTAGGGCCTGGTTCCGCTATGGAGGTGCCGAGCTGTTGGGTCGCTGGAGGTGGGTGATCGACGACAATATGGAGGTGCTAAGCTATATACGAAACTAAAATCAGTTACCGATTCAAAAGTAGCAACATGGAATACCAATCAATTCAGGGTAACAAATAAGAGATCACAAAAGGACAACTAAGTTTAAGCTGAATCAAACCTTATTCATTGTTGCCATAACTTTTCTAGCACCTATCGTGCCAAAGAAATAGAAGTGTTAGCAGACATTGCCTGTGAATGGTCATACAACTTATTAAGGTCTCATATTAAGACACGTTAAAGGAAACTTGATTGCAAATTCTCGTCAAGTGTGACTATATATACAATTATCGACTTGTGTGTGAGTCGTTATACCTTTCAGTGAGCTCGACTCTCCTGCAAGTTAGAAATTTGTTGTCGAAGCCTAAATAACTGGGGTGCAAGAATTTTGGTTGTCGCCTACAAAATAAAATTTATTGTTGAGGCATAAAAATGATTTATGTATTTTCTAATATAATTATCGAGCTTCTGATGTAGCTTTTCTCAAGTTAAGTGATTCAAACATTCTATGCATCGCCTTCCCTATTTTAGCAGTTCTCTTGATCTCAGCAACAAGCTTCTTTTTCTATAAATATGAACCAAAATATTGCATAAAGAANGAAATATGAAAAAAAAAAAAAAAAAGAAAAAAACATATGCACAAGGTAGAATATATATGACAAGCGTGGAGCTGAGAAACTTGACATATTAGCTCGTCTTCCTCTCTTTTCTTCAATGCAACCACAATTTCTGGTGTATCTTTTTCATTTGTCTTTGGTAGAGGAGCCAAGGTAGGATTTCGGATGTAAAATATCTTGAGGGTCGTGAAAAGAAATTTCACATTGTCTTGCCACCTAGTGAAATTCGAACTATCAAACCTATCCAACTTCACAAGGTCTTGATTTATAATATTGATTGTTTCTGTCTCCATGTAAATAGAGGTTTTTATTGTTGGAAATAATAGCTAACAATAGAGAAAGGAACACTCCACAACACTCAAATTCAATTATTTAATATTTCTCTCAATAACACTTATAAAATAATAAATAACACAAGGCTCAAACAAGTTTTTTTGGAATTTTGTCCTAAAACTCTATTTCCTACCCCTCCTGGAAATCTTCAGGGAACACACAAAATGGAAATGGATTTTGCGATTGATCAAGACTTATCACTTTTCTTCATAAGATTTCACAAAGAAGAAAAGTACTTATAGGACTCATTGTCGTGTGGTTACAAAATGTAAAAACTTATTTTCACAACTCATCTTATTTAACGAGAGACATTAGTCTCATGAAGTTGCAACTTGTTTAATTAATTATTCAAGATTAATTAAACCGATAAGTTTCAAGCTTGTGAAAGTAAAACTCATCCCACATGCATTATCTTGAAACTTATCCTACATTCATGCAATGTGTAACATCGTGCACTCATGAATATAATGTGCAAGTTTTAATCTTGTGAATTCATCTTGCATCCATGCATGCAGTGACGGATCGAGGAATTTCACTCAGGGGGGCTCGATTTTAAATTTTATAGCGAGCTTGTAGTTTAAGTCGAAAATCTCATTTCATATAAAAATGTATTTACTATAAATATAAATATCGATATGTGTACCATCAAGTTTTTAAAAACGTAGAATCCTTATCACCCTCAAACTTTTAAAAAAATAAACAAAGTAAGTGAGATTTCATGTATTTATAATTTAAGAAGAAAATAAACAAAAAACTTTTGCAGCACATTTGACAATGTGTTTATCAAATGAACATTTTTTAACACGTAAATCTTATGAAAATCCAACTGTCGGATTTTGATCAGTATTTAGAAAACTACTGATCAATAGTTAGCTTTTTTTAGGCTACAAAACAAAATCCGGCCGTTGGATTTTCATAAGATTTACTTCGATAAAAAACTCGTTCTCCAAGCTTTCAAATGACACCTCCCAATCGAAAATCGAATATCTTGATTATCAAAATACTTGAATTGAAATTTTTCTATACGCACGTGCTCTTGTTATCTTCATGGATCGATTTTAGAGGTATCAATTTTCAGAAATTGACAAATCATACCTCATTTTGTTCGTCTTGCCATGAGTTTTAAAAGCCCTAAATCAATTTTAAAGATTAATTTAAAATTTCTGGTTAATTGAGTTAAAAACTCTTTTATGCCATATTAGGGTTATCAATCGAGGAGACAAATTGTTACTTTTGATTACATTGGGAGGCAAATTGTCAAAAAAAAACTCTAAAAAATGGCATTCTTTAGGAAGTTAAAAGAAATTTTCCCTTTATTTTATATTAACCAAAATATAACAGTCACAAATGCAGATATGAATAATGGACAAAAAAATTTGATAACTTGTTTTTAATATTAGGATTAGGAAGCAGGACTAGTGCCCGTAGCAGCTCATGATATATTGTACACATCCATGTTTTTAGTTGACCCCACCACCATGCGATGTGCCTGGTAAGTGGTACCATAGAACAAACACACAAATATTGACTCAAACAAAATGATCAGAATCATCCACTAATCCTTTGTACGTAGTACTAATTAGTTTCTGACAGGTCAAACATATGAAACCAAATATTGTATACAGACTTGTAGGGTTGGGGGCGTTGACCTTCTCGACTTTGGATCATTGTTTTTCAATGCGGATTGGCCGACTTGGAGTCGAAACTGATTCGAATGGGTGATTTCGACCGGCTGACATAGACCGAGTCAAGCCCAGCCAATCTAACATTAACACGGTCGACTTGGGCATCAACTCGGGTGGGTCAACCCGCTTGACCCGCTCAGTATAGTTATTATATTTTTTTTTATGGTTCTTAAATTTTTTTTTTTTGTTTTATAAATAAAAATTTGGATATATATTTATTTGATAAATATTTATTATGTTATTATCACTTTGTTGTACAAAATTTATATTCGAAATTTCTTTTATTATTTTTATGTATATTTATATGATAAAAATACAATATCTATAAATTTAAAATTTTAAAATTAATTATCCAGTTGAATAATTTAGCTCGTAATCGGACGGTTGAACCCAAAACTATGTTTTGCACATTTATTGTTACTAGACCAAAAGTCTTTTTTTTTTTCTTTTTTTTTCTACAAATAAATAACTGTTTCATTAGAACTAATGGATTTCAATTTTAAACTCATATTAATAGACAATGCTTTATTTCGATAACAAAACTATATATAGTTAAAAAAAAATAAAAATAAAGGAAAATTTTCTAATTTATCAGAATCAACATGTGATGAACATGGCATAAGCATGATCTTTAGGATCTTTAATTTAATTATTTATTCCTTTATTTATTATTAGTATTTTAGTCCTAAATTTGTTAGTAAAACTATTTAATTATTTTAGTCTTTTATTTGATATAAAAGATAATTATCCTCGTTACACAAATTTTTAGGTGTTCTATTTAATGACTCATATTTTTTTGTGTTTCAATGACTGAACTTGATCAATAAAGATATCTAAGAGTTTTGTCCTGATT